TTTTACATTACAATAATTATAGGTTCTCTAAATTCTGTTGAACGTTTGCAAAGATGATAAGTCGCCTAAACTTAAGGGAATATACACAAAATACTGCTCACTGGACTTTTTACATCATCAACACAAGAACGACTTAAAACTAATTTCAGTGGAGCGGGTTCGAGAAAAGTCTGTTTTTTCCACAAAATACTTTCTTAAATTAAATATTCTTTACACAACGATTCAAATTTCACTTTGTACATGCATATACATTATTTTTTCGTTAAATTTTTTTCAATGTTTTTAACGCAAAACCTTATTAAATTTTTCTTCCTGGTAATACGAAACTTTCTTCGGTATTTAAATTAGATTCTTTTTTAGTCCAAGTAACTTTAGATCAAATTTTGCGTAAAATTGAAAAGAAAATGGTGGATTATAGCTGTTTGTTTTACTTTTGACAAGTATATGAAGCAATAATTATATTGTTACGGATTCCGTGGGTCCACTATTTAAACTCACGATAAAATACTTAACGAATTTATTTACTCACTTTATACACAATTACTAACTTATAACACACAACAAACTAACTATTTATAAGATTCCTTCACCAAATTGTCCGATTTTCAATTTCCACGCGGTATATTCAAATTTCAAAAACTTTAAACTTGTCCAACTGTCGTAAGCGCTCCTTTTATATAGCTGTGGTGAGTGTTTCGCGAACAATCTAAAATTATCGGGACGGGTCCGCCATCTACTAGTACATTCTATTGTCTGCTTCGCTTACTTGTCGACTTGATTAAGAGATGGCGCTACAACAAAATAATGTCTTCAGGTTTCTGGACACGTTGCGGTTTTAGTTGCTCGCTTCTCCGACAGATGGCGCCACATACACCTTGACATTTGCCCCTTCTCAAATTTGATCGTCCCGATCAAGGTTTCCTGTCTGGTATCTCTTCAATCGATCCAGATGAACTACTTTCATCTTACTTCTAGGGCTGCGATGAATCCGGTACACAACATCATTTATCCTCTTGATGACTGTATAAGGACCTTCCCATGCTGGAGTTAACTTTGGGGACCTTCCTTTCTTGCGCTGTGGGTTATACAACCATACCCTATCGTCCTGTTGAAATCCCGTAGAATTAGCTCTGAGGTCGTAATGAGCTTTCATCCGGTCACTGGCTAGCGCAATCTTACTTCTAACGGCCTTATGAATGTCCAATAATCTTTCCTTCCTAGCGATTCTTTCGAACGACAGTCCAACGCTATCCTGTTCCATTTCTTCCCCAGATCGAGTACTTGGTCTTTGTCTAGCTGCGCAAATCTTACAACGTTGACACCATTTCTTAACATCTTCGCAATAATCCACCCAGTAAAAACGGTCTCTCAGCTTACTCAAGGTCTTGTTTACTCCAAGATGGGCTCCAGTTTTACCACCGTGAATTTCTTCCAATACCTGGGTGACTTTCTTCCTTGGTACCAGTAACTGAGTTGTTACTGTCCTGCCATCCGCACTTTCCCACGTGCGCTTTATCAATCCATTCTCAATCACCAGTGAATTCCACTGAGCCCAGAGAGCTTTGAAAACGAGCCCTCTGTCCGCAATATCCTGCCACGGTGGTCTCTCGCCGTTACCTTCCTTGAGCCGTAGTATTGCTCCGATGTCTGGATCTTCCATTTGATCTTTCCTCAATTGTATCGTCGTCCATTGTTCGTCAGTTCTCAGTTTAAAATTCTTTACTCTGATAGTGCTTTCGCGATGTTTCATTTTCTTGCCCAAAGTAGCTCGTCGTCGATCTAGGTCGTTGTCGATAATTTGTACCCGTCCTACACGGCACCCAGCGGTTTTCTCTAGTTTCCCGAACACAGTCTTCTTGGTATCACCAGGTATCATCACAATTTTCGATGATCTTTCTTCCATATTTCCTGGTCTCTTCTCTTTAGATACAGAAAATTCCTCATTTCCGATTTTCAGGATGTTTCTATGGTGATCGAACGAAAAACCATGTTGACTGATCACATCCATACCCATGATAAAATCATCTTCAATGTCTGCCACTAAAACGCTATGCCGAAACTTCAAATTCCCTAACTCCAGTTCTATGAAAGCCTCTCCCCGTACAACGGCCATTTCCCCCGTAACTGTACGTAAATACACTCTTCTTCTCAGAGGCATCAGCTTCAATCCTTGCACTGGTTAGCCCGCACCAACGATACCATAGCGCCAGTGTCCACTGTCATTCGGATTCTCCTACCATTGACCTTCCCGTCGATCACTAAACTGTCAGCGGTTCTTCCCAGACTCCTAATGGAAAAAATCCTGGGGGCTCTGTTCTCCCCAGTCAATACTCGCCCCTTAGTATTGACTGATTTTAGTTTTCCTGGTGCCTACGTTCTCTGGATGGTGAACGGGATCGCATTTGAACGCGGCAATCCCGTTTGATGTGGCCATTCCTGCCACATCTAAAGCACCTTATGTCCTGTGATCTTCTATAGCTCTCTGTCTGGGTGTTGTTGCTACTCTTGTTCACTAGTAACTCACATAGTTTACTAAACATCTCCTCCAAACGTATGTGAGAACTTCCGGGCTGTTCCTCAACCGTTACCGATCTTATCTTCGGTCTAGGGATGGCGCTAAATGCAGCTTCGATTTCCAGCGCCCTGACCAGTGCTTCGCTGCTGGTAGAAAATCGGGATATTTGCAGCGCCCTCTGTAATTCGTTGTCCCTCAGTCCGCTGATAAAGCACTGAGCAGCGAGTTCCTCCCTAAATCCTTCCGGTGCTTCAGGATACGCTAGGTGTACCAGCCGACGTAAGTCTGCTTCAATTCCTGCAGACTCTCTCCGGACCTCTGCAGGCGTGTCTTGATCTGTGCCTGGTAAAGTTGGCGTCGATGTTGGTCGCCATATCTTCTGTCCAGTGCAGCGACCAAAGTTTGGTATTCCTGCTGTTGGGCTGCAGGAATAGTTTGCAACAGTTCCAGGGCAGGGCCACGCAGCGCGATGACAAGTGCCGCTGCTTTCTCCTGGTCAGTCCATCCGTTGGCAGCGGCGGCTGCTTCAAACTGGCGGTGGTACATCGTCCAGGTGGTTTGTCCATCGTAGGTCGGGGCCTTGAGGTTCGCAGTTCCATGAACGCCAGGTGTCTTTACTTGTACCTTGGTCTTCTGTAGGTCCATCTCTAATTTTTCCATTTTCTGCTGAAGGCGTTCCTCAAGATCTTCTACGGCTTCTTGAAGGTGGATGTCTTGCCTTTTTTTCAGTTCTTCAAAGTTCTTCTTAAATCGGTTTTGATCTTCTAATTTTTCTTTCTGGCGACGCACTTCTAAATCTTCAACAATTTTCTCCAACCGTTCTTGTCTAATTTCTTGATTTTCAAGAATTTTCTGAAGCCGGTCCTGTTCTTCTTGTTTGTCGTGCTCTCGTTGAACTTTGAAATCTTCCAGAATTTTCTCAAGCCGGTCCTGTTCTTCTTGTTTGTCTTGTTGTCGTTGAATTTTCAAATCTTCGAAAATTTTGTCTTGCCGGTCCTGTTCTTCTTGTTTGTCTTGTTGTCGTTGAACTTTCAAATCTTCGAAAATGTTCTCAAGCCGGTCTTGTTCTTGTTGACGTCGTAGTTTTTCCTCTTCCTTTTCTGTTTCTAATCGGGCTCGCTCTTCTTCTCGTTCTTTACGGAGTCTTTCTTGTTCTTCTGCTTTCTCCCTTCTCATATTCTCCATAAAATCGCCTAATAGTTTGCTTACTTCCTCCATTTTCTTCGCTTGTTCCCTTGTACCAACCATAAAAATACTCTAATCCGGTCTAAAAATCTTCCAATCCACTTAATTTCTTCTTAAAATCCTCTTGAATCGCACTTCCGACACCAATTGTTACGGATTCCGTGGGTCCACTATTTAAACTCACGATAAAATACTTAACGAATTTATTTTCTCACTTTATACACAATTACTAACTTATAACACACCGCCATCTACTAGTACATTCTATTGTCTGCTTCGCTTACTTGTCGACTTGATTAAGAGATGGCGCTACAACAAAATAATGTCTTCAGGTTTCTGGACACGTTGCGGTTTTAGTTGCTCGCTTCTCCGACAGATGGCGCCACATACACCTTGACAATATCTTTGTCAGTATTTGTTATAACCACCATCTTAGATTTTTTTTTAAAATTTGTGAGCGTAATTTCAATTTTTTTTTCACAGGAGGAAATTAATTTTTCTGCAAATCTTATACCAGGTATTACCGGGTGCGTCTCAAAAGTGGCTCACCCCTATAACTTTTTTATTTTTTAAGATAATAATACGAGATTTGGTATGTTAGTACATGACATAAGTTAGGATTGATCTCGGGATTGATTGACGTATTCAATTGTTATTGGATACTTCCTGTTTCACCTGAAATGACTACAACTTTTGATTTTTAAATGGCACCCTCAGTATATTTTTTCTATTTTATTCGATAGAAAATGCCACTCTAAATATGACATATCATATGTCAACTTTTGACATTTTTGCTTAAAAAGAAATTGTATTTTAAATTCCAATCTAGAGTGTCGCGGCTGTTTCAGAAATACTAATTTTTAATAAAGGAGCCTTGCAAAAATAGAATTGACCGTCTAATGTTTTTCGAGTCTTGTTTTGGCTGGTTAAAAGATGCTTAAGTCTAAAAATACGAATTATACCTCATTTTTTTCAAATGGAACAAGGGTGGCTCATTAGCATATTTGGAAAAACCATTTTTTTATGAATAATTTGGTATCACACATTAGGTATTTCGAGTCAAATTGTCGTTATGAACCGTATGCTACAGTTTCATATAAACCATCTGCGAAAATGTGAAAAGTTGACAAATGATATGTCATTCTATTCAGAGTGTCATTTTCTATCAAATAAAGTAGAAATATACAGAGAGTGCTATTTAAAAATCAAAAGTTGTAGTCATTTCCGGTGAAACAGGAAGTGGCAGAAACACGTCAATCAATCCTAATATATGCCATATACTAAAGTACCAAATCCAGTTTTTTTAACTGAAAAAAAAGTTATAGGGGTGAGCCACTTTTGAGACGCATCCGGTATAGCTGTATAAAATTTGAAATTTTTGAACACTTGAGTTTTTAGTCTAGAAACATGAAATATTTATGTATTATACAGGGTGTTCCAATATTCCGTAGACATAGATCTATTACGTAGTTTTGCAGTCGAAATAAGTTAATTGGGCACAATTTTACTCTTTAAAAAGGGCAGAGGACATCAACTAAATATAAACCCAAACGTTAATTAATTTAAAACTTATTTGTTATTTTTATTGTGAAAAATATTTTTTTGTCAATTAATTAATTTGTCAGGTTAATAAAATACAACAAAATTACAGACAAAACCATGAATCCTTCACCAACTTGTCAAGTATTAAAGATTAAAACAAGCTGAAAAGTTTCAAACCACTGATTTTTTTTGGAAAAAATCTAAAGTTACTGGACTATTTCTGTACGGTATTGAATTGGACCCAATATAATTTTCTCTTTGTTTCTTCTGTTTTCCATTATTTTATCCCAAGTTCAGTTCGTGAGCGAAAATGTTTTCTGTTTTCAGGCAGGCGCTCCCGCTCTCTGTGGGCGAGTTGGCCGATGCGAGCGAGTTCGCCCTAGTGGCCGCTAGAGGGCTGCGGCTGTTCTGATCGGCGGAATTAACCACGATCGTTCCAGTGGCGTGCGACGTGGCAGGCAAGTCGTTGTTAGTGTAGTAATAAGCCGAATCTGAAATTAAAAAATGCGATTATTGATTTGTGGGCGTATTTCATACAGTATTCTATAATTTTTAACCGATACATTGGTCTAGTTATACGGACCGACCAACAATGATTGAAATAATGGGCTCTGTCACTATATTTTGGAATTCGCTATCTCACTTTCGAAAAACTTGAAGTCGTTCATAAGAAAATAAATAAAAACAAAAAAACCCAGAATAAAAATCAGAAATGTATTTTTAATACGTCACACCTGGCATGTTGAAAAGCGGCAACAGCGCCAGTCTACCATGCTGACCCATTTAAAATTTAACCATTTCGGCGTCAACTTTAGGAAGGTTAGCAGATGACGCTTTTTCGAATCCAGGTTCTGGTACGACCATGATGGAACAAATTATCAAAAAATAACAATTTAAAACTTAAAATTTGATTACAAGCTGTCACAAACGGAGTAATCAAAAAATTTAACCTCAAATTTATTATTCAACTTGCACGTCAACTTCTATTTCAGATTTTGTCCTTGAATTGGGTATTTTATTTTTTGTGAAAGAGCCCATTGACTATTCTGATTTGAAAATTTGAAATGAAAAGGTATGAAATAGAGTTTCCAATTTTCGGGCTTGGGATCCCGTTTTGAAATCCCAGTATTAGAATCTATAATCCCGGGATTGACTATCAGAATTAGAAATCTAATCTAACGAAATACTTTATAAAAATACATTTACATATAAAAAAATGAGAAAAGAGCTTTATTAAAATAGACAAAACAAAGTAACATTCATATTTAGAAAACTTCAAATGAATGTATGTCCTAAACATCTTAATTTCTGAGATACAGAGCTGTAAAATTTTCTAAAAAAAACGGCTTTTCATATTTACTCTGGTTTTATTATAGATATCTTTAGGAAACTTGATACTGAAAATCTGATGCGGTGACTATTGTGTGGAAATCATTTCTGCATCGGCGGGAAGGAAATTAAGAAATAAAACACTTTGATGCGTGGAAGACGTGTATCAAATATAACATTTTTAGAGATACTTTGAACAAAAAAAAATAGAAAATTTTACTCTCTAACACAGTATTGCCAACTATATTTCAATCATTGTTGACTGCTCCGTACTAGCAGTTAGTAGCTGACACAAAGCAATAATTTTATACAAATTATATCAATAATATTTGAGAATATAATTTTAAATTCTTTACCATGATAACTTTGAATTTAATATAAACTCGTTATTTTCTAGACATACAATACTCACTGTTTACTTACTGAGTAACCCGCTGGACGCTGTACCATATCCGTAGGTTCCGTAGGCCGCTCCGTACTGGCTGTAGGCTGTACTATATGCATAGTCCGATCCAGGAACTACTGTAGTACCTGTTAGATAAAAACAGAATATTTTTGTATTAAATTTTTTCCTTAAATCCCTCCAAATATATTGATAGCATTTTATTTTGTCGCACATAATATAAGGTCTATTTACACATACCAGTCTCAGTTCCTTTACCGTACCGTCTCAGTCTCATTCAGTCACTATAAGTGATGGCTATTCATATATATTCTTTAAATAAAAATGGAAAAAAATACGATTTGGGCATCTTTTAACTGACCAGGAGACACGAAAAACAATTAACGATCGAATCTATTTTTACAAGGCATCTTGATTAAAAATTACACGTGCGAATACGTTAATCAATCCTAATTTATGTCATATGCTAACATACCAAATCTCGTTTTTTATCACAAAAAAATACAAAAGTTATATATAACCACTTTTAAGAAACACCCGGTATATTATATAAATAAATAAAATCAGAGAAAAAATCAATCGCCGTTTACTATAAAATGCTTCAATGGACCAATTACATTCGCAACAAAATCGCAAATCGCAACTCCTAAAAATTCTAACTCGCAGATAGAAGGTTATCACGCGCACGGTCTTAGTTTACAAAATCACAATGACAGCAAAATCGCAACTCTCCACTATAGTAATGGTTGCCTAAATTGAAACTCACAAATAGAAAAAATCATAGTCACAGTTTCCTCTGAAAGCCGATCGCAGGTTGCGATTGTGATTTTAAAATCGCTGCGATTGAATCGCAATTTGCGATTTGTTGCTCATCTCTAGTAGGTAGTAAAGGATATTATATCGGTCAAAAATCTAAGTAACTAAGTATACAATATACCTTACGGGTAGTAACTCAATCAATTATGAGAAATTCAGTTAGAATTAACTAATTATATGTTTTTTCCTGCATTTTCGCTTTTACTTTATTTATTTTTTTAACAATTTTATTAACTAATAACAATTCTTGACAATTATTGAGTCTACCTTACATTATATTTTTATAAATTTTAAATAAAATTAGAACCGCACTAATAAACTGGAATTTACGTCAGCCATATTAATCCCCTATCGCGCCCTACCTTGATGATATGATGCTTAATCTTTTTATTTAAAGTAACTGAGACAGCCTGACGGAACGAAACTAAAGGTGAGGTTATATACGTATCCGTCATGCGTCGAAATAATCCAATAAAATTATACAAAATCAATGAGAGACGACGCATGACGGATGCAAACCTTAAGATATGACTGACATGTGTGAATAGACCTTTAGCAAGCTTTAACTTTTATCTTTTGATTTAGAACTTTCGTTGTTTAAGTGTAAGAATAGCGCCACTAAACTTCGCCAGTGGAAGCACACCTTAATGTACTACACGGTACTCACTAATTACAGAGTGAGTCTTAATAGTCAGGGCTGGTAAGTATCGATAAAGAAATATATTTTCTCTTTACCGTTTTTCAAATTAAGTTCAAAATAACCCAGATATTTTACTTTGAAAATTTCCAAAAAAAAAATATTTTTCGCTTACATTTTTAGAACCTCTTAATCTTTTCTGAGGTTTCTTTCTTATAAATTTAATCTACTACCTATGTTGCCATATTATAAAGATATTACGTTATTAACGTTTAACTAAATATTAAAAAAAAAATACAAATTTTTAATAAAAACTTTTCGCGATAAAAACTTCATAGAGGTTTTTCTGGGATCTAAATGAACCACCCTTAAAAATATTTGCACTTATTTAAGACTCACTCTGTGTAAAGACGATATTATTATTAAAAAACAAAAAATTAAAATGACTGTTGATAACACATATTTCTTATGTACCTTTCATGTTTTATTTTATATATTTTTCGAATTGAATATTGGTGGTGGTGATTTAATTTGAACAATTCACATCAAAAAATAACTCATGCCTCATGCAAAGAAAAAAATAACCATCAAACACGTATGCATTTTACCTATAATCATATTCATTTCTAGGAGATTCTTCTTTATGTGTTGTTCTTACATAGTAATAACGGATCCTTATTTCAATGAGATCCTGGGGATTTGAGTTCTCAAAACTTACCTGACGAATACCCGGCAAAACTTGGCAACATCGTACTGTAATGTTGCGTTGCCACTTGTCCCGTCGCGGTTGGCTGCAGTACTGTCAAGGCTGCCGGATCTGGCGATCCCGATTGGCTGGACGGTTCGGCTGGAAGTGCCAAAGGCAGTGACGGAGATGAATTTTCCACCGTGTTCATGTTGTACGGAGAATTGTTCTCTGTTGCTGGATTAATAGAAATAAAAATAAAAATACATGCAAAAACAACAAAATAAAACGAAAATAGTAAAATATTATTAATGCATGCTTTCATATGCCCTAAAAAGCTTTAGAAATCTATGTTAGTAAAAATATGAATTAAATAATATAGACCGACAATATACAAACAGGGTGTAAACAGAAAAATTATAGGTTGCCACTTATTTAACAAAAATTATATATTAGCGAAGACTATACAGGGTGAGTCTTAAATAAGTGCAAATATTTTCAGGGCTGCGATAAAAAAATGATTTCTTGCTTAAATTTTGAGAACCATTGAATCTTTTGTGGGTTTTATTTCTTGTAAATTTAATCAACTACCTATGTTTCCATATTATCAAGATATTATGTTTTTTAACTAAAAACTAAAAAAAATCCCAAAAAAATCCTCATAATCGTGTTTCTTGGGTTGAAATATACTACCCCTAAAAATATTTGCACTTATTTAAGACTCACCCTGTATATAATTATAATATTATATAATTTATTTATTTCCTTAAATTATAGAAACTTTTTGCTACTTTTTTATTTAAAGTTTTATATCTATCGATTTTATTGAACACAGAAATAAATAAATGGAAACAAGAATTATTATTAGCTATTAAAAACAAAGGTTTATTAGCAAATAATCCTTTGTTTTTCTGACTTTTTTACGTGTTTGTGGTAAAAATTGTTAAATTTCATACACTTAAGCAAAAGAATGGATAACAAACAATATCTTTCTGAACGAATGGATATAAATCAAATTGTAGATAAAAAAATTAAGAAAAATCCATGATACCATATGAAAATAAGAAATTATAAAACATCTGAAAACTTAAATCATCTCATCTTTTTAAAAGATAGTAGATTAAATATAAAGTCGAACGTTTAGTTCGACAATAAATAATTCAAAATAAAGGCTGAGAACCGACGAAGGGCAAGATAAGATACAAAACAGATACACCCAGATTCAATAGAAAGCATAATTAGGCTTAGTCAATGCCAAGTGATGCAATAGACCAAACACAATAGAATTAAAAACCTACAAACATGGGAATTATTACTACTGAATGAATAACTCTAACACATGCAATTTGATTACGCTCATATATAAAACGAATTTATAAAACTAACAAGCATTTTCAATAATACTTTTCCCACTACTTATAGCTACATGCGTTTGTAAGCCTGTAAAAGATCTATCTAATTTAAGAATTTTTCTAAAATCTATTTGCTAACTACAGCTAATATTATAATTACCTTCACCATTGATTGTAGAATACCACCATAATATTATAATTACTTTCACCATAGTATCGACTTCTCTGTGTGAGTTTAGTTGAATTAACTTAAGCAGAATACTGATTCTAATAAGAGAGTTAAGAAAGAGACAAATTTTACAAGTAAAGCAAATTTTAAAGAAATAATAAAAAACAAACAAAATAAAATGCGAAAAATGCTTCTAAAGCATTCAAAAATTGCCAATGCGCATCCAAAAATTTGTCTCGCTTATTTCTACAAGGGAAATCAATAAGTAATCAATAATAATAGCTAAAAACTTCTAATTTGTTTGAGTTTAATTTTGTTTATTGTCCTATTATTGTTCCGAATTTCTAGGTTTTACGAGATTAGTTTAGTGTTCTATTTTTTTGTGTTTTTTTTTTGAACTTATAGACTGATATAACCAGCTTTTGTATTCTACTGAGCTGTTTTTAGTATTTTATGAGTAATTTTTTAATAATTATTTGTTAGTTAGACCGTAGTTAGTCAATTTTACTATTCGTTTAGTATTTTAATAATCGCTCGTTGTACTTGTAAAATTTTTAGAATAATGGTGTGATCAAAAAGAAAAATTAAATAACAATAATAATCTTCAAGATCTAAGGTTTAATTATTATTTCTTGTTTTCATTGATTGTTTTAGAGAAGTCTGTAGTAGACCGTCTTTGAATTGTTTGCAAAATATCTTAGTCTACAAAAGAGTAACCTCTAAACACTTAAAAGGTTATAAATCTTCAGTATTTCTTAGAAATATGCTCTAAAAATTGCTTTATTTGTCTTTGGTTTTTTAACATTACTTTAAAGTTGTATAAAGAGGTGATTTTAAAGCTGTTTACCTGAATGGTAAGGTGATATTGAAGGATCGATGATTCTTGTAGTCTCTATTTTCATTTCATGCATTGTTATAGGCGCTAACGGTTGTATAGAATTCGAACCTAGCGTAAAATCCAAGATATTCTCGTTTAAAACACAAATTTATTGTTTTATTTCACCACCACCAGGATTATTAGATAAAATAAAGGTCCCAAAAATCGTTCGATCAAAATGTTTCAGAGAGTTAGTGTAGTCAAAAAAATATGAAATTAATTTATATTATTTTTAACTGTCATTAAAAATAGAATACTAGGTAGTACAGTATTCTGAACACTAAGATACCTTCTAAAGGGAAATAATTAACATTAAAGTAGATCTAAAGCCAGAATAAACAATTTTGTAAATACCTTAATACATATAAACATTTTGACCAAACGATATAGTTTTGCTTTCAAAAAATTTCCTCTTACCTAGGGATCCAGCCAACGGGGGTGTGTACAGGTTTTGGCTGTTGGCTTGGCTCATGGTGTTGATTGTGTCGTAGAGATCCGCCGCAGATGTGGCTCCGGAGAAGCCTCCATGGGGATCGTAGTACCCTCCCGTTTGTCCTGTGGTGGTGCCCGCACCACCCAGTTCGCTCAGGAGTTTGTGTTCCTCCTTGATCGACCATTTACTCGACCAGAGCTAGAATACGAATAGAACAATTAAAATAAAAGAAGCAAAATCTTTATCAGATACAACATTTTATTAAGTATACAAATTTATGTATGTATAATATCAAGGTATACTGTTAAGTATATAATACTGTATATTAAGTATATAATTTTAGTGAGTTTGAAACCTATGTTTTTAAATAATTGAGTACTGTTTAATCCCTTTATGTATGTGTTGGTACTATTGTGTTTACTGGTGAAAACATTGTCAGTATCGACATAACATTTGAATATCGTGTAGAATGCCTTGGAATATTAACGCAATTTAACTGTTCTTGTTTTATTTACTTTGAATTTACTCATGTAAAAAAAGTCCTGAAAATAATAAGTACTGAAAATTTGATTCCAAAAGAAGTTAGGGGCTACCACGGCAGTTGATACTAAAAACAACTTTAACAAACTTTAGTGTACCTATAATACATGGTAAGTCTTAAATTAGTGCCAATATTTTTAGGGGTGATATACCGGGTGCGTCACAAAAGTGGCTCACCCCATAACTTTTTTATTTTTTCAGATAAAAAAAACGAGATTTGGTATATTACCGTATGATCGAAAAAAAAACGGAGTCCAGTTGGCTATGAAATGAAGATCGCTGTCATTTTATATGTAAAATTATATGGAAAATGTTATCGATGTTCATTTCCAAGCCAACTGGACTCCGTTTTTTTTTCGATCATACGGTAGTATATGACATAAATTGGAATTGATTGACGTATTCAATTGTTTTCGGTCACTTCCTGTTTCACCGGAAATGGCTACAACTTTTGATTTTTAAATGGCACCCTCGGTATTTTTTTACTTTATTCGATAGAAAATGACAAACAGACTTTTGACATATTCGCTCAAAAACAAATTGTATTTTAAATTTCAATCTAGAGTGCCCTGGCTGTGTTAAAAACGCTAATTTTAGTCAAGGAGCCTTGGAAAAATAGATTTGATCGTCTAATGTGTTTACTGTCTTGTCCTGGCCGGTTAAAAGAGGCCCAAATCGTATTTTTAAAGTGGAACAAGGGTGGCTCATAAGCATATTTGGAAAAGGCATTTTTTACGAATAATCTGATACCACACACTTGGTATTTCGAGTCAAATTGTCATTATGAACCGCATTTACAATTTCAAATAAACCATATGGGAAAATGTCAAACGTTGACATATGATATGTCATTCTATTCAGAGTGTCATTTTATATGAAGTAAAGTAAAAAAAAATACGGAGGCTGCCATTTAAAAATCAAAAGTTGTAGTCATTTCCGGTGAAACCGGAAGTGACCGAAAACAATTGAATGTGTCAATCAATCCTAATTTATGTCATATACTAACGTACCAAATCCCGTTTTTTTTTATCTGAAAAAATAAAAAAGTTATAGGGCCCAGTTGCCAACCCCAGAAACACGTCAAAGATTTTTTTTGGGACAAAAATAAAAATTTGTTATTTAAAAAAATGTTTTTTTAACTTTTAGGCAGTAGGTTTATACTATTAGGCAGTAGATTAAATTTACAAGAAAGAAAAGACCGAAAAATAGAGGTTTAAAAAATGTAAGCTTAAGTTCTTTAAAATTTTAGACTTAATTAAAAAACGGTAAAGAGAAAATATGTCCCTTTTTTCAAGATCTACCAGCCCCGAAAATTTTTGCACTTATGTAAGACTCACCCTGCATAAATAAAATCAGAATAAAATACTAATTGGAGGTTTATTCTCAGAGTGAATAGGAATCTTGGTGAAGATTAAAATTTTAGAATTTCAATCCAGTAAAAAAATTACAGGCCAAGTCCGGTAAATAAAAACAGTACTTATTACTGTAATAACTTATTTTCTGGATTGAAATCAGGTATATAAAGATGTGTTTAAGTATATGTAAAATATGTTTAAGGGGGGTAAAAACCTCAAATGCAAAACCTGATTTGGAGCTATTTGTATGTTTAAGCTTTTTGCATTATCATACGTACTCGCTGATAAATGTAAAAGTTACTCTTTAAAAATAAAAATACACAAAGTGTTTTAAATAAACACTTATTACTTCGTGTAAAGTAGGCGTAAAGGGAACACGCAAAACGCTTTTCGAGATATTGTTCGACCGATCTAGATTCAAATACTGTTCCGAGACAGATCAAATTCAATTAAATACATTCTCGACTTTCTACACAACAGGCAACGTAGGATCATGTATCTGCGTGTCCACGCTTCGCGGAACATAGTTTTCTTTTTTATTTATCGTTATTAGGGTAATCTTGATTTGATTTCCTGAAAAATGACCATAAAACCGATTTAATTTATAAGCTCACAGTCTGTAATTTGATTAGGAGATAAATTTTGTTTTATGTGACATTTATAATTTATTTTTAATATGTGTCTTGATCTGATCTCGTTATAATTTCTAATACTGATATTTTCTTCATCGCTTAAATTATTTTTTTTTAATATAAAATATTTTATACACTATTAATACGGAGCTTTTTATACACTATTAATAACAATGATTGAAATAGTTAGCAATACAGTGTCAGAGAATTTTGGGATTAGCGTTTGGTATTGATGCTAAAACAACTGACTTTATTATTTGTGAAATCCGCATATTTTTCAATGTAAAGAAATACTATTCTTCAATATGTACAACTATAGTGTTCTATATACATAAATATAGTATACTTACAGTATACTATATCACGTCTTAATAATTTTCATCCCGGCTTTTAAAACTATATTATTTTATTTTTGGTTTGTTTTGATGCTACTGTTCTTCTTCTTACAGTGCCATAATCTATGTATATAGAGCGTCGGCTACCTCTCGCATGTACTTGTGATGTGTGTCATCAGTGTTTCACAAGTACACGGGACCTACAGTTTATTACCGAATCCGAACGGCACTATTTGAGAGGCTGTACAAGGCAAATATACTCAAGGTGGTTTGCCATTGCCTTCCTTGAGGTGGCGGCTCGTTGGTCGCTCTATTTAGATAAATAAATATTTTTATTTAAATAAATAAAGGGACCGTACTGGCTGGGGATCGAACCCAGTACCTTCCGCTCCGCAGATCGACACCCTAACGCTGGAGCTACGGACGGCCACATGCTACTGTTAACACCTGGCAAATAACTGAATTTCTTAAATTTATTGTCAACCAAAAAAGCAAAATCAGATAGCCAACTATTTCAACCATTGTTGGTTGCTCCATATAAAAAAATCAGTTTTAATTCAAGTACAAAAGGAACATTAAGGACTTCTAATACTCTTAGTGTCATAAAACTACATTAATTTACTCTATTTAGCGCATTGTGAGATAGTACTTTAGAAACAACTTTGTAAAAGTGCACAAATATTACGATTCTTGTCTTTTCAGTATGGGAAACTTTACTTACGTTGGAATATAGGGGATCTCCGTTGTACTGTGTTCTTTGTCTTTTGATATCATCGTCAGGATGGCCATTGATATCTCTATTTTCGTCTGCAGAAAAGAAAGAATAGTTAGTTAAAAAGTCAAACTATACATAAAAAAGGTCCACTGTAAATAACGATTGATTAACTTGTAAATATAAAACAATTTACAACTGACGTATCGTCAGAAATAACACCGATTATTTACATTTAATTACCGCCTAATATTTTTCTACATGGACAGGATTTGTTCTGTTTCCGTATTTAATTATTTTTTAACATATCATTTTCATTCTTTTCCGTAAGGACACACAAAGTGTTAGACCAAGTAATCACTAAACCCAAATTATTATAAGTCGGCAGACTGGTTACGAATAGGCTGCGATTTTAGCTTAAAAAATATAGTCTGTTACAGAACAGACAAAATAAAATGTTAAAACTGTTATCTTCTTAACTAAAATGTTTAAAGAATTAATTTTGATCTGCCATTGGGTAATATACTTTATTTCTAGAACTTTATTTACACGTTCTATATTTTAAATTTATCCAGGAATATGAAAATAAACTATATAGGTATCTCCGCAAGGGTTAAAAATAGGGCTTTCCCTATTGAAAACTCAATTATCGTCCGGCGAGCGACTTTATTTTCTTTTCCTACACTTTTTCCAATGATTTATCTCAACGGCTCCGCTGCGTGTGTATGTGTTGGTCGGGTCCGGACCGTTATTGCGATTATATTGACTGGTCCCCGTTCGAAGGGGCGCCCATTTAGAATAAATCGACTCTCTCCGGGGCCCATTGTCAGGCCCGCGCTGCCCATTTTGACTTCCCCGCCACGTCAAACTGACTGTTCCGAAGGGAGTTTTCGACCGGCGCATACCTTAAATCGACGATACACATCTGGTCGTAGTGCTATAACATGTTCGATAATTTAATTTTAGAGAACTTTCTACGAGAACGAATGTCGAGAATTTATAACTCTTCTTCTTAGGTTATCGTCTTTCTTCTGAGGTTGGAGATCCAATTGGCTAAAGGTGCGTACAGACCTGAAGAGGTGAGCGCGAGACGAGAGCGAGATTACTTCCATACAATTTTTGAGAGACGACTACTACAAGCCAAGCAAGCTATGTATAGCATGTACCGATATCTCGCAGTCGAGCGAGTTTACCACAAATGCATCCAGATTGTGCCACGAAATTTATTTAATCGACCCTCGAAAAACACAGTCGTCGAAAAACACAACGTCGACAAAGAACGGATAGCAAAAGATGCGTCCAGACCTGACGAGACGAGAGCGAAGCGATAGCTAGGCAAGAGCGAGACATATTCTATCCAACTTTTGAGGCAAGCCTGCCACGAGACTATCGAGTTGGACCATAGTAAAAGGAACCCAAACACATATTAAATTGTAATTGAATATAACAAACGATGATCAAATAATAGCGCATACAGTAATAATTTTTTTATTTTTAACATGTTGCGTGAAACTAAACCTGAAAATTTCAAACGATGTTCATCCAAACCAATGACGAAGATCTTTAAGACACGAGTTCTATTCTCTTCCCGCAGGTATCCTGCTCTAATTTTACCTGCAATGACTTCACTGTACTACTCCTTTATAAAACAAAAGATGCTACACACAGATTTGCCCTAGCCTTCCTGGTTTCTAAAATACAATTTAAAAATTGTGCATTTTTTGACCCCCTTCGTATCTCGGTTATCATTTGTGTTTATAAATTACTTTTAAAACTTTTCCATTTTCTTTAAAAATGTATGTTTTGATAACTTTAATAACTAATAACATTTATTGATATATTGACATACACTCACCGGCACGAAAAATTTGAAGTACATAATTTAAAGTTTTATATATTGTATTCTGGTGGACCGATTTTCATGAGTTTTAAGCAATTTGTAATTAATTATTTGTCAAATTATTTGACTTTTTAGTATCTCTTTCTAAATTAAAAATGAAAGTTTCCATCTGTCAATTATACGAGGGAACCCGAATGGTGATATTTTGGTGAAAGTTTGTAACACCCTGTGGAGTCAAGTTAACAAAGCAAAAAATATAACAATAATTTTATCATCTAGGTGTATCCTTTCTAGATAGTTTGTTTTTTGATTCATTTCAGTAACTTTTTCTTTCATTTCTTTTGGAGATATTCGCTTATTTTGAAGACGGCACTAACACGTTTTCGTATTTTTTACATTAAATGCCTTTGGTCCTAGTCAACAGACCTATAAAATAGTCTTTATGATTTATGTAATGTCGACGTTCTGCCATGATCAATTAAAGCAGCAATAGTCGATACTTCAGTACTTAAAGCTATCTCTACTAGAGTAAACGCCAATAAACAATAATAATGTCTATTCAATGACAGTGACATTACAATAACAATAAGCACTATTTTATGAGAGTGTTTATGATGACCCAAAATCAATGCTAAAGTTGTTTTAGATCATTAGTCTTATTTAAAAGCTAATATTTCCAATAAAAATAAAGATATTGAGATAAATAAAAAAACAAACTATCGAGAAAAGATGTTCCTAGATTATAAAATTATTTTTAAATTTATTGCATAGTTAATATATTTCACAGGGTGATTCAAACTTTCACCAAAATATCAACATTTTTTTCCTCGTATAATTGATAGAAGGAAGCTTCATTTTTAATTTAGAAAAAAAAACAGTAAAAAGCCAAATAATTTAGCTACAATTTGTTTAAGAAACCATCAAAATCGGCCCACTAGAATAAAATATATTCAACTTTAAAATACATCAAAATTTTAATGTGCCAGTTTTTCGTGTCGGTGAGTGTACGCGTTTTGAATAAAAGTAAAATGGTACTGATGAACCGGAATTGAATTAACTCATATAAATTCCCCATGGCGCTCAAGAGAGACAAGTTCCTCGACTGTGCTACTGTACGGAGAGCTAACCCCAACCGTGGAAGAGTGTATACCTTCGTTTGAGGTAGATCCACTACTTGGCGGATGAACAGTTGTGGTCAGTGGAAGATGGGAAATACCCTGTCCCCCCTACAACAGAAAGATTCCCATGTCTGATGAGTTACACCTGAAGAAGGGGGGACACAATGGATTTATAAGGTCCCGGGGAATTACCCCCCTCCCCCTTCAACTCAAACTACATTCTATATAGTACAACCGTCCTTCGCGATAGATAGCGTAAATAGAGTTTAAACGAAAACTCTCCGGCGGTAGTCGGGCTGCTGCAATCGTCTCTATTGTGTCGTTAGTAAACTATTTCCACGGTTTCGGTAGATTTTCGATTTGATTTGGAAATGCACGTTCGAATTATTGCCAACGAATTCCGCATTGACACCTTTAAATGCGACTTTACTACTTTTTTCTGATGCGAACTATATACCTACTGCCACTGAGCAATAATTAACAAATTCCGGTAATAATGCCATAGGTTCAATTTCAAAATTTCAGGTGGAATAATATTCGGGTGTAATAAAAATGGTGTGACTAATTTGATAATTGAAAATTTACTAATACCTATGTTTATATTTTTTACTAATTTTGGAATTACTAAATATTGTGCTGGGTTGGCGTTGGTTTCTATGTAATTTGACAAATAAATAAAACTGTCTCTTTAGTTGTCAGTTTTGAGTCAATATTTTTTAGTTCTCTTTTGTGTCGATTGCTGATTGAATTGGAGCCAGAAATGACTCAAAACGAAATAAATACATTACCAACAGATATTCAGACTGAGGCGACAAACGCCATATCCAAACTACTTCCATTTAAATCCCGAATAACTTATGAAAAGGAATACAAAAATTTTCAAAAATAGAAGCAATTAAAAAACGTGCGAGAAGAAATAAAGTTTTAACCTATCCTCGCTGTTAAAGTATCATTTAATCTACCCTTGCGGTTAAAGTACTATTTTATCTACTATTTTTGATAGATATAAGGATGGATATAAGGCAATTTTAACAGTTGCTATGGAAAAAAGTTACTTATTTGTTCAAAATTTTTGTTTTAGTTTATTGCACGTTTATTGTAATAGTTTTCCCGACGAGAATGATTGTTTCCCCATTTTTGCATAAATCTTTAATGGAAGAAATGCGGATTCAATATAAAATATTGAAACTTTAAATAATATTGAATACTTTAAAGTTTCACATATGGTAAATTATTTAAAATACTATTTAATTAAATGTTTCTTTAGTAAAAATATAAAGATATGCAAGACTTAAAAGGGTCCCAAGTAGCATTTGGACGTTATCTAACGTCGGGTATACGTCGCGTTCAATAAACCCGACGTCGGTTCGACCGCCTGACGACCCTTATTTGCACCTAAATGGGGAATATAGATTCGGGTCGCCTCGACGTCGGTATCTGACCTAATAGGGAATGTAATTCTACCAATTACCAACGTCATATTACGTTGGGTTTTAGTTACTTAAAATTCGTCGCTAAGCACTTACGTTACGTTTGGTTTCATATTCGCTACCAAGAGTACATAAAAACCTAACCAAACTACCTAATTACAAAAAATGGATTCATAATCACTCCTCGAATATAATTATAAGTGCCTATCTAATTTCATATTAGGTATAATAATTCTGAATCATTAATCCAGACATCAGTTTTGTCAACGGAAGTCACTTTCTTGATATATTTGATTAAAATACTCCGGAAAACAACGAGCGCCTTCAAAATTAGGAAGATTTATGAAATAAAAATATCTATAAAAAAGTAACTCCCAAAATATTTTTTTAATTTTCTAACTGGTTTAATCATAAAACTGTACTGTGGTTTCCCCCAAACTCAACCTTATCAATATTATTCTACTAGAAATCGAAATGTGAATATAAATTTTAAAAAGAAAAAACGATTTTAACATGGCTGACAATCGGATACGTGTTAAGAATGGCGGATTTCTGTGTCCGACTTAATATGAACTACCAATTTACCAATTCCGACCGGGTCTCCAACATTAGTCGTCTCACACGACCGAAGTCATCACACCGGACGACCGGCAATCGTATTATGACGTATATAATTCCAACGTACGCCACGTAACCTCACTTTACGT